CCTCACCAGAAGAAGAGATTTGGGACAAATGTAATTCAATGGTCATTTCTTGGATCCTAAACTCAGTAGCAAAGGAAATCCACCACATCATAGCCTTCATTGAATTTGCAGCAGAAATCTGGCATGAGTTGCAATAAAGGTTTGGCCAGAGTGATGTTCCACGCATTTATCAACTTGAGCGAGATCTTGCCTTGCTTCAGCAAGGAGATCTCTCTGTAGCTGCATACTTTACAAGGTTGAAAATTCTCTGGGACGAGCTAGCAACACTCACCGACCTACCTGAATGTACCTGTGGTATGAAYTGTGGCGTTGTGAAATTCTTTTTGGCCGACCGGGAAAGGAGGAAGATTCATCAATTCATCATGGGACTAAAAGATTCCTTCAACATCCTTTGCTCACAGATTCTTGGATCTGATCTCATACCACCTCTCAATCGATTCTATGCCTTAGTTATCCAGGAGGAGCGGCACAAATTAACTATTTCTTTGAGAAGATCATCGGCTCTTGATGCTGTAGCTTTTCATGTTGCTTCCAAACCTCAAACTCGTACTTCTGGGTRAAATAGACCTTACTGTGATCACTATAAACGCCAAGGTCACACAAAGGACAAATGTTATGAGCTCAATGTATATCCTCCTGGTTGGAACCATTGACCTCCTGGAACAGACAAGAATGCTCGTCCTCCACAAGATTGGGCTGAATCAGACAAAGCAACTTCATATACAGTGACCACTGCTCCTTCAACCTCTAGCCAAGAATCCCTTGTTATTGGATTGTCTCTGCAATAGTACAATCAATTGATTTCTCTCCTCAATAAAGATTCAACTGATATCTCAACCAATCTTTCTGGTAAAACCGTCCCTATCTCTTATGTAGAATGGATACTTGATAGTGGTGCATCCGACCACATTGTCTTTAACATGTCTCTATTCTCATATTACTTTCCTTTACCTACTCCAAAATATGTACATTTGCCCATTGGTGATACTATCTCTGTTACACACCATGGTACAATTTCCTTCACTTCTAGTCTTTCTCTTTGTGGTGTATTGCATGTTCCAGCTTTTACTTGTAATTTAATTTCAGTCAGTGAATTGACTCAAGAGTCATGTTGTGTTGTATCTTTCTTCTCTATTCATTGCATCAAATAGGACCCAATCTCGAAGATCATGATTGGAACGGGTGAACTCCGAGACGGTCTCTACTACATTCGTTTTTCTCCTCCCACCTCAGTTCATCTTACCAGCCCAGTATTATCCTATGAATTGTGGCATAGGCGCCTCGGTCACGCTTCCAAGTCTCGTATGTCTTTGCTACCTAAACTCTCTCCTTCACCCTCTGATGTATGTTGTGATGCCTGCCACCATGCCAAGCAGACAAAAAGTCCATTTCCGATTAGTCATATTCATACTACTTGTCCATTTCAGTTGATACATTGTGATATATGCGGCGGTTATAAAACCCCGTCTCACACAAATGCTCATTTCTTTCTCACTATAGTAGATGATTACACTAGATGTACTTAGACGTTTCTCATGAGGCATAAATCTGAAGTTTTTCATTACCTCGCCTTTTTTTGTGCAATGGTGGAAACACAATTTAAATACTTAATTCAATAGGTTCGATCTGACAATGGCCTAGAATTCATGTCTAGCCCCTTGCAAGATTTTTTTCAACAGAAAGGCATCATCCAGCAACGGTCTTGTGTTGACACACCACAACAAAATGGTGTTGCCGAACGCAAACATCGACACCTATTAGAAGTTGCCCGTGCTCTTCGCTTTCAAGCATGCCTACCTATTTCCTTTTGGGGCGAGTGCCTTCTTACAGCAACCTATTTCATCAACATCACATCAACACCCTTGTTGGGAGGAAAGTCTCCATATGAAAAGCTTCATCTTCGACCCCCTAACTACAACTACCTCAGGGTGTTTGGCTACTTATGTTAAGCTCAAATCAGACCGGTTCCCCATGACAAATTTGCTGCTCGTTCAACCCGATGTGTGTTCATTGGCTATCCACACGGTCAAAAAGGGTACAAGGTGTTCAACTTCGACACCAAACAGATATTCACATCACGGGATGTAGTTTTTTATGAATCTATTTTTCCATTTGCTGCTACACCGACTATTGATTCAACTGAAACTRCTATAATTCCAAAGCCTCAACCTGATGATGGATGTGATCTTCTTTCACATAGTGATGAACACCATGTGCACGAGAGCATTGCTGAACCCATTATAGACAACAACAGTCCCACCGCATGTCAAGACACAAATAATGGGCCTGATCACAATCATGCTACTGATGGCTCCATTAATTCTCATCCCACTCGCACACGCCACCTCCCATCACATCTACAAGACTTTGTGTGTGACCTCCCTACATCTCTCACAGCCCACCATGCCCTACTCACCCCTACATTCCATCATCCCCCCGAACCTACAACATATTCTCAAGCTGCCAAATGCCCTCATTGGCAGGTAGCCATGGCTGATGAGCTTGTAGCATTGGACCGTAACAACACCTGAACCCTAACAGATCTCTCTTTTGGAAAACGGGCCATAGGCTGCAAATGGGTCTATAAATTGAAGTTAAAGCCAGATGGGTCCATAGATCGCTACATAGCACGTCTTGTAGCAAAGGGCTACACTTAGGTTGAAGGATTAGATTATCATGATACATTTTCTCCTGTTGCAAAATTGGTGACTATGCATTGTCTACTTGCGGTTGCCGCTGCAAAATGTTGGGAATTGCACTAGTTGGATGCCAACAATGCCTTTCTACATGGAGACCTCCATGAAGAAGTCTACATGACGCCCCCTCCCGGTCTTCTTACTTATAATGATCATCGTGTTTGCAAGTTAAATAAGTCACTCTATGGCCTTAAGTAGGCTTCACGGCAATGGTTCGCAAAATTCACACAAGCTCTCATCGACATTGGTTTCCAGCAGTCAGTGGCTGACTACTCCTTGTTCACATCACACCAGTCCAACTCATACATTGCTGTCCTTGTGTATGTGTATGACCTGATCATCACCGGGAATGATCCAGCTCGCATTGCTTCTCTTAAAAGCCACATAAACAATTGCTTCAAGACAAAGGACCTTGGGCCCTTACATTATTTCTTGGAAATTGAAGTCTCTAGAACTACTGATGGAATTTTCCTCAATCAACATAAGTATATCCTTGACATCATTACTGAAGCAGGCATGCTTGACTGTAAACCAAGCCCAACTCCTATGGAACAACAGAAGCATTTCCATGATGACTCTAGTTTGTCCATCTCTGACCCTGCCCAGTTCAGGTGCTTAGTGGGTCGATTGGTCTATCTTACAGTCACCCGGCTCAAGTTAAGCTTTGYAGTACACTCTCTTAGTCAGTTCATGAATGATCCCTATCAGGAACACTTGGATGCTGCCCTTCATGTTGTTCGCTACCTCAAGGCCACCCCGGCACATGGACTATTTCTATCATCACACAATGACTTCCAACTTCAAGGTTACTGTGACTCTGATTGGGCTAATTGTCCAATCACTCAGCGATCAACCACCGGATATATCACCTTTTTTGGAAACTCACCACTTTCTTAGAAGACTAAGAAACAACATACAGTTTCACGCTCCTCTGCAGAAGCCAAATATCGAGCAATGGCTGTTGCTACTTGCGAACTTTTGTGACTTAAGAGGATCCTTACTGATCTTACAATTACCCTTCTAGCACCTATGCATCTCCATTGCGATAACAAGGCTGCAATACAATTGCAGCCAATCTAGTTTTTCATGAAAGTACGAAACACATTGACATTGATTATCACTTTGTACGCGAATATATCCAGAAGAAGGAAATTTAGACTTTCCACATTTTTGGCACCCTTCAGCCAGCTGACCTTACAAAAGCTCTTAGTGCAGATCAATTTCAATAGCTATTATCCAAGTTGGGTGTTGCTTCCCACGTCCAAACATAGGCGGTTACAACAACTTTGTAAATAGGCCACGTGGCCTCGCACTTGTCCAAAATCAGTTAGCCTTATATCTATATATATATATGCAGAAATAAAATATTTTCTTTGCGCGTGTCATTCATTCAAGATACCAGTTTACATTTTCATTTGTTCCCAAATAGCGTTTAGGTTTTAGATTTTGAGGTTTGAGTAGGCATGGCTTCTAAGAGGCAAAAGAATTCGTCGGAGGAAGAAAAGAAGCAGGCTTCGTCATTCTAGTTTCATGAAATCCCACAGGGATAGGAGCTCTGTTTCTCTGATTTGAAAGGACTGGTACAATGCCGAAAAGCAGGCTTCCGCCATTCCGATTAGACCACCACCGGCAGCCCATTTCCTCTCGCCGTTAGAAACCCTGTTGCAGCGGCAGCAATATTTCTAAGCTCAAAACACTTCTAGTGTTCAGCGACGGTTTTCCTTTTCCTTGTTTTATTTTGAAAATTTGAAGAAAAATAAAAGGTAAAATAGTCTTTCATCTTTTTGTTAACGGGCACTATAAGGAAAGTATTAGTCAATTATCAGAAACAATAGGAATAGCATTAGTCAATTTTCAAACAATAAGAGTACAATTAGCCCATTAGCTAAACCATAAAGGTAGTTTAAGAAATTTATCCATATTCTGTGATGTCTATGCAGAGGAAAATAGGGAATGCCACCTGTCCCCATTTCCAATTAGGCTACGTTTGGTTTGAAGGAAAAGGTAGGGAAAGGAAAGGAAAAACAGAGAAACCTGTACAAACCTTATATGAGTTTCCTTATCTTTTCCTTCCTTTCCTTACCTTTCCTTTCAAACCAAACACAGCTTTAGGTTCTATCCATGTCAACCGTGCAGATACATTGAATAAACGCATTGTTATGGCCCTTCCACTGCTGTGGAGTAGTCGACAAATAGGGCCAAACATGGAGAAGATAAATTAGGTCCAATTAATACCACCATCCATGTGAACAACAAACCATTGCTAGAAAACTTACTACAGTAGTGTTCATTTGCACCAACTGATGATAAAATCTGAACCAGGAATTCATAGCTACTTTTAATTTCATGCAGAAAAGATTCAACAACTAAGTTAATCAGTCGAATTACCATGCAATATGAATCGCCATTTTTGCACAAACCTAATGTTCATCATTCATACGATATCCCCACTGTTGTCGGTTTTCTCTGTTGCCCTTTCTTGATCATCTTTATCCCCATCATACCCATGGCCGATTGGTTTCTTGCCACTGGATCTGTTTTTCAACTTCCCTCCATCCTGACCTTGCAGTGCACCAGTTCCCAGGGCCTCTATATACAGCACTCTCACCAAGTTCCTGAATCGACGTCGAAATGTCGGCATCCGTGACAATGAAGCAACAATTCCTTGCAGCCTGTAACAAAATTTCAACTCCAATTTCTAGAAGATGACAAGATGCTTATAATTCTGCTTTTGCATTGCAGGGGAATCCAGAAACTACATTGTTTTAGGGATCAAAATATACTTGGAATTAGAATATTCCAAGCTGTTTGGTAATTGATCTTAAACACTAAGATATTTCCAGATAAAGGTAGTACCTTCTAAATATGGCTTGCAATTGTGCTCTTCTGACATTGTCATCTGATGGAAATCCAGCGTCATTCCAGTCTTCAGGCCTTTCATTATCGTAGTCCATAATCAACTTTCTCAAGCACGATTCCTCATTCTCATCTAACTGGAGTCCTCTGATCTGTTCCTTAATAATCAACAATGGTCCAATTAACCACTCAAAAACCAAATCCTTTGGCCAGTCAATCGTTGTTAGCTCCACCTCATTAGCTGGTAAATCCAATTAAACAACATGGTTATTTATCACTACTAAGTAGTAACCTTATATCAAGGCTACAAGTTTGGAAAGAAGAAAAATGCAAATTAAGAGTTACAGACATACAGATGAGCAACCCCGAGGAGTCAGTCTTTGCTGATGCGATCAAACACTGCAGAATGGACCAAGCAGGTAGTTTAATGCCTAGCTTCTTACATTTTCCCTTTCCAATGCATTTCTCGAGGTCTCTGATATCTATTGATCCATCATGGAGGAGAATCCTACCATTGACCTCGAAAATTTTGAATAGCCAATCCCAGACCTGTTATACTCTCTAGAGTGAAAATGTGCAGTGACACATCTAATTCGCTATCCTAAAAGTGTGACATGGAAGGGGTGTAGAAGCTCCTTACTTGTATGGGCTTTAGTTGGTGAATGGTTCTCTTCAATGTTCTTTGCTCTGAAACTAGTTTTTTGCCATCAGTATGCGCATCCCGTTTCTTCTGATTATTTTTGTCATTGTCAAATGATATTCTTTTGTCAAGGGGCTTTGAGGAGGAAGTCATGCTTTGACGGTATTTAGGCCTGGCTGTCATAAGGATTGTGACTGTGACTCTTTTTGCATCAACAATTACCAGATATATATATAAAAAGATACTGTATATCGTTCAAAGTATTCCAAGATAGGATGATACCTGGGAAGGCAGGATCCCTCCCTCAAGTAAAGTAAATCATTTGTGTATTCATCAAACAATGATATCACTGATACAATGTAATAAAGTCCCATCCTTAGTGAGTTTTCCTGGATTCAATGGGAAATTTCAGTAAAACATCTGTAAGTTACAGCATGATAGCAACTAGTATCTGTACAGGAAAGATACAATACCCAATAACATATAGCATCAGAAATGAAATCTTCTATATATATACCTACCTGATGGACAATAATCCCACTGTAAAGTCCCAAAAAGAAGCTGCAGAAGAAAGCACCAATGACAGCCCCAACAACAGCTAGGGGCCATAAGATGATGGCAAGACCAGCAAATGGAACGCATACTGTCTCCATAAATGGTCCTTCCCTCCCAATCAAATCTTCAAACAGCCTCTTCCATCCAATCAGGAGCATATAGGGGCTTTTCCACAGCGCAACAGTAGTGATGAAGAGCGCATCAATGGGGATTGCTAGCAAGCTAACCAATAAACAACTAGGCAACATAGATAACCTTCCAAGAGAAACATAATGAGGAGGTCAGATTTTAAGCTCTTTTATATTAAACAAGTAACAGATTATATTAAATTGTGAGAAAACAAATATCTTCACCTGATGTCCATGGGCTCTTTATCCTTGGGTACTTTCTCACTCAAGTCATCCATGTAGGAAAAGTAGGAATGGAAGCAAAAATCTGTAAAATCTTGCACTACAGTACAGCTTCCATCAATGGTGCTCCAGCACCCGTCCTGTGATTGAAGCAGAGTTGTGAATTAGTTGAAATATTGACCACAGATTCACAGACAAGGGAAGAGCCCTGTTTGTAGACATCAATGCAGGAACATCTTGCATATCTATCCCCTGTTAGATGGCTTACCATAACCATGGTCTTGTTTCTAACCATCTAAAAAATAACACGTATCCGTGGCTGTATTCTCTGGTTTTCTTGAATTTCTAAAGATATTTATCTACTGTTAGAAATAGCCATGGACCATGGTTGAGGGATATTTAGTAAATTTCTGCTTTGAAGTTTATAAATTAAAAATAAGTCTTACAAAAAAGCAGTGGAAAAGCTTTTCTGTGATTTGATCTCCCTCAGCTTCGAACGTTGCGACCATTGGTTTGAAAACTCCATATCCTATTCCAGCTAAAAGGCTTCCAACTATTCCAAAGACTGGCCAGAGAGCCAGAGGCACCGGCAATGATACCAATAACAAAATCTTCAAAACCAGCCCAATCCTCTTGGTTCTGAAATAACAACTCAAGATAATCAATGAAGGAACAGAAGGAAGTACAGAGAAAGCACATTTGAACACATTAGAATTGCATGGACATGGTAAACAAACTTCAGTGGGAAAAAGTTTACTTTGTCAAGCAGTAGTAACTCCAGAGAAAATGTGCAGGCCACAGTCCAAGGATTACAGCAGAATTTCCAACAAGAATGGTGACAGCTGCCACCGGTCCGATGATTGATGCTGTGGGAGAAACATGAACTAGAAATCATGTCAGTAGAGATAAAGCAAATTCAATTTCTAAGCATACGTCTGTACACCACAACTATATCCATGTATATGAATAAACTGCGGGGTGCTGTGTAAAACTTTTTCTCTGCATCGCCACCTTGTTTTAAGTGCTTATTTTTGTCAAAGAATTGTCAATCTCTTTGTTCTTCTGAGTTACAAGATCTGCTGAATTAGCTTTAGCTATGGATAATCTTAGCAAAGACGATGCAATGAGGAGCAAGTTAAATTATAGATTAAACTTTGGGCAATCTATACCCTGTTTTTATGACCTACAGATTCTGCATCTTCCTTTCTCTCTTGTTGATACAAGTTATCTCTGTCTGTGTCATCGATTAAAAAAACCGAGAATAAGTAGAGAAAAGCAAGGAGTGGTCCTCAATCCTCATGTAATCTATTATAAACCTTAGGAATCGAGGGGACTCACCTAGGAGTTAGTCTTACAATTTGCTGAGCCATCAACTAAATGTCAATCTCTATTAAGTATGATCTAACAGAGAAGGTAGAAAACGATTCTTGGTCCAGAAAACTATACATGGGAGATAATGATGGTTAATGTCTTTCTGACTTTCTACTCTAGCAAGTGGAAATAGGAAGCCAGCAAATTTCTTGAACAAACCCACTGCTTCCAGGATACAATATATTCTCGTATTTCAAATTCTTATGTGTTATAGAGATATTCCTTTGTTATGTCTTATGTCTATGCATATAAATTTGCATATATTCATTTTCCTTTGTTATGTTCTACAGAGATTCCATATCAATAGAGAGAGAGAGAGGTTCTGCTGTTCATACCCTTGAGAACGCCGAGAATCAAGAGGAATAGGAAGAACAGAAGAAATGAAATAAACCTCCATAACTTGGCGATAAACCCAATTGGGACCTCCATCAGATGATCCTCTCAGAGATTCAGAGGGAGAGAGAGAATAGAATGCTGAAAGTAAAGGAGGTTGATAGTAAAACTGAAGAGCTGTAGTTTGAATACAGGGCTATACTACAGGGGGGTTACGTACCCCGTTGTGCACGCCTTGTTTGTAAAGCAGATGTAGAGCCAGTTAACAAAGGAGGAAGAAGACACGAAGTCGTTACGTGGCAAAAATCTGTAGCTTTTTTGCCATATGTCGACTATACAATGATCTATACGTGAAGAACCTGGGGGTAAAGTCCACTGATGGGATTCATGCTTTCATCATAATTTCTTCCTTACCTTTTATTCTTAACTCTCAAGAGGCAAGATACAAATCCCTATCATCTACTGATCAGTATCAAGTATCCACAACTATCTTCAATTAATGGTGAAGGTAAACTGCCGTTTTGGGTTTGAAGTTACAAACCGCATTCGATCGATCTTTGAATGATGGAATGCTTGTGACATATTCATTACTCCACCGTGACCTCAACCGTGGAGCTACTTTACTGGGAGTGCCACCGAAGTTTAAAGTGGATGTACATGTACAGACCTTAACGCAATGACATCTGGCTATGGAAAATGGTTAAAATTAAAAAAAAAAAAATATTGCCCAAAGTACCCCTACTGTGCAGTTTTGTGCATTTCTTCTCCATATGTATCAGTATGAGTGCGCTACCAAGCGTGGGCATTTTTCGGATAGATTTAGAGGGTGTTTGAATCCGTTTACGTTTATGGGTGATCATCTATTTGTGCTTTTTTATTTTAAACGTTTATTTATATATATATTTTTTTATTTTAAACGCTTTTTACTTTAAATGTTTCTTTTTTTTAAACGTGAAGATATGCATCTACAATGCTTTTCAAGCATAAATAGTATTTGGTAAGATAATTTCCAACACTGATTTTCGTGTATATGCACACATTACTCGATATGATGGTACATACTAATATTATACCAATATATAATGATGCTTATCAAATGGTTCAGATTAATTAGACGATTGATTTATAATATTTGTCTCTACAACCTCAACGTGAATAATGGCATTATATGCAAAGGCTGTGAGTGATCCAATAAAAATAGTTTGCACGTAATAAAACCATATTTAAGTTAACCTATTACGCCCAATTCCTGTGGAACTGGGCCTAATAGTTTGTAAGTTAATATTTTGGCTTTACTATTTCATTTGGGCAATACCTATCCATGGCATTGTAAAAATTTAGTGGATTTTCATTATAAGGTGAAATCTGGAAAGATGATATTTTCTCTCTACTGTTTCATTCTACCATTCCATTTGGACAATATTTTTTCACATGTATTTAATTGATACGAGCAAAGAAAGATTAAAGATGGCTTCAACTTCAATATTAAGAAAGCACTTTCCTTTCCTTTCATAACAGTCAAACAAGAAAAACCGAAATAAAATTCCTGTCCAATGAATAAAAGAACAAGTAAAGTTGTATGAGCACCAATTTAGCTGGGTTTACCGAAGTCCCAAACTGGGTTGTTCTTGAATAGCCGATGAATTTTAAGAAAATAACAAAAGTAAATGCTAACAATCTCTAACAGTGGTTTCATTTTTCCATCAAATTTACTAATAACATATTCATCCTATTTAATGAGCTTCAAGACTAGTTGGATAATTATTAGCCAAACCTAAATCAAAAGGCAAATGGTGTTACAACTGATGGTGCACGATCTAGAAGCTCATAGCTGGAAGATGACCTGGAAGCTGATTGCGTAATGAGCTATTTCGAATTGCAAGAAAACTTATCAGAGAACCCAGGGTGGCTAACTCGGCGAAATCACTCTGATGCTTAAATCAGTATTGTGTTATCTTGGTTGCGAGCTAAAAGCTTGAGTGTAGAGAGAGCTAGTGAGCAAATAATCATGCGTACCTGGGTCCTGGGGTTGATGCCTTTATATAGATGGGCTGTCATAGGCCTCGTGAAACATTCCCGAGACCTTCGCCTCGTGACATTCGGATCCGTTCTGCTTTAGTAGGAGAGTAACACGCCAATCAATGAGGTTTATCATTTTCCTCTGATCCGAGCAAGATGAGGATAAAGCTTATCGTTATACGGCGTGATCCCGAGAAGTTTGGAGATGACTGTTGAGCTTCTTAGTTCGGTTACTTGACACCTCGGCACATGTGGGTGCCAAGGTGCTTCGGGCTTCGAAGTGACCGAGCACCCGAGGTCCCCCGTTCTGCTGATGTGTCTTCACATGTGATCTGGCACTTGGCTGACAGGTCGCTTCCACGTGTCCCTTGCATACTACGTCGGGCCAAATCACCCCTCATCAATTGCCCCCCACTCCCCGTGCCTTGGGTCCTAACCCGATGCGGGGAGTTCATCGCGAGCCCAAGTGGATTCGGCACGACTTCCAGGCTGTTCGGAGGGCGGCTCTTTGGTTGGACTTTCATGACCAATTTGGCTTGAATGGTGAGAGCCGAGATCGCGTATCGGGTATGCATGGACGCCATGCAGTTTTATAAATTCCGTGGACGTCAAAATGCACGCTCAACCGATTTTGATCTTGGGAGGCGTGCAACTGGTTTTGATGGGAGCCATCGGATCGCATAGATCTCAACCGTTGAAACCCAATCGAGGTGACTATAAATAGGGCTGAGTAGGAGTTACTCAATCTCACTATATGCCGAGGTGAATAGACACTGTAGGGTGTATGCCCAACCTGTTTGCGCACGTGCTACTTTATTTACCCATGCCGAAGTGACTGTGTTTTTGGTTGCCAATGCCAAAGCGATTAGGACTTATCCCTCCATGCCGAAGAGGAGACTAGGTCTTAGCACGCCTATGCCGAAGAGATGACTAGGACTTATTTGCCCATGTCGAAGAGGCGATTAGGTCTTGTATTGTGTCGATGTCTTTTGTCAGCTTGACACCATAGACCTTAGGCTCAGAGAGACTTATAGTCCTCTCTCCAACTCGACGTCCTTTTGACTAGCTCGGTGGTCTAGTGGACTTAGTAAATTTTTGGTTGTGTAGGAGTCACGAGCTCATAAATAATATCTCCTCAGGTTGTCAACGTTCAAAGCTCGAGGCACTTGTTTTCCTTCCATAGTCCCAAGCTTATATGTGCCTTCTCCGAAAACTCGTCTCACCTGGTACGGACCCTCCCAGTTCGGTCTGAGCTTACCCACGCCGAGCTCAGGTACCATGACCTTGTGGAGCACCAGGTCACCGACTCGAAACTGTCGTTTCCTGACCCGGGCATTGCAGTACCGAGCTACTCGCTACTGGTAAGCTACAATTCGGATACAGGCCAGGTCACGTACTTCTTCAATCAAATCCAAGTTAGTCCGGAGCTCGTCGCCATTTGCCCCTTGGTCGTATGCCTCGAACCGCGACATTGGTACTTCGATTTCTGCTGGAATCACGGCCTCCGTTCTATAAGTGAGGTAAGGGCGTTTCATCGGTTGCAGTCTTAATAGTCGTCCTATAGGCCCAAAGGATGTTGGGCAACTCGTCCACCCACAACCCTTTAGCTCACGCTAAGTGAGCTTTCAATCCGTGGAGAATAGCCCTGTTTGTCACTTTGGCCTATCCGTTCACTTGTGGGTGTGCCATCGAAGTGAAATTTTGCTGAATCCCCATCTCGACACACCAATTTTGGAATTTGATGTCTTCAAATTGCTTCCTGTAGTCCAATATCAGCACCTTGGACAACCCAAAATGGCACACAATGTTCTTCCAGAAGAAGTTTTGCACGTTCCGATCTATAATGCTTACCAACAGTTCAGCCTCCACCCACTTTGTGAAGTAGTCCACTACTACGACCAAGAATTTCCTCTGCCCGGTTGTCAGCGGAAATGGACCAAGGATGTCAATCCCCCATTGCGTGAAGGGCCATGGACTGGTTAAATACTTCAGATTGGCAGCAGGTTGATAGAGGATGTTGGCATGCCTCTGACATTTATCAGATTTATTGACGAGTTCAAGTGCATCTGCCTTCATGGTAGGCTAGTAATAACCTTGTCTTAGTGCTTTTTGGGCAAGTGCTCTGCCCCCCAAGTGTCCTCCGCACAGTCCTTCATGGATGTTGCGAAGTACTAGTTTAGCTTTTGAAGGTCGCAAGCAACATAGGTAGGGGAGCGTAAAGGACCTTCTATACATCCGTCCGTCGACAATGACATATCGAGCTGATTGACGCTCTACCCTCCAAGTTGCATTGCGTTCTGTTGGTAGGGTCCCGTGGAGCAGATAATCAACGAGTGGGTCAACCTAGCTCGGTTCCGCTTTCAACATAGGAGCGACCTCTTCTGCCCCCCCCCCCGATAATGTTGGGCCGAGGCAAATCTTCTATGTACACAGTTCGCATTGTGTTGTCGCTAGTGCTTGCCAATCGTGACAGGGCGTCGGCCTCAGCATTTTTGGACCTCGATATCTGCCTCATGAAGCAAGAATGAAAGCGTGATAGGACTTCTTTAACCTTAGCCAGGTAAGCTGCCATGGTTGAATTGCGAGCTTCGTAGTCGTCGTTGACTTAGTTCACTACCAACTGAGTGTCGCTACACATGACGAGGTGTTTCACACCTATTTCCTTCGCTAGGTTGAGCCCGGAAATTAGTGCATCGTATTCCGCCTCGAATCCGAACTGGAGAGCATACTCCAACTTCACCTCGTTCGGGCCGTACAGTATCAGTCCAGCACCACTTCCTCGCTGGTTAGACAAGCCGTCTACGTGGAGGATCTAGGGCTCCTCATCCCAAGTCGGTCCTATCCTGCCCGGGACCGGTGCAACACTGGCCGATGCCTCCAACGTGTTAGAGGGCTCAGTCAGTTTAGGCGTCGGCGTGCTGAACGTGCACTCTACTATGAAGTCTGCCAAGACTTGGGCTTTGATCGCTGGACGTGGCTCGAACCGGATGTCATATTCACTTAGCTCGATTGACCACTTCGTCAGCTTCCCTGATACCTCGGGCTTAAGCAAAATGTGCCTTAGAGGTCTGTTGGTG